GTCCACCCTTTGAAGGTCGCGTGAGTTGTCCCTTCCGACGTGACCTCGTACTTTCTGACGTCTGGGTGACGTCCACTCTAACACATCCCACTGTTTCAAGGTTGACTGGTCTGGCGTGACCTCGGACTGTTTGTGTCTCTGTCTGGGTGACGTGCTTTGTCCTCCCAACACACTTGGATCGATTTTACCCGCCTAACTTTACCGCTCGTACGAAATACACCAATAGGGAACAGTAAGCTGACTGCCCAAGCAAGATTTCCTAAGCAATCATCTAGAATTCACCGGAATGACTGTCAGACTGACTTAATTTTAAGGGAGCCTTTGCAGATTTGCTTAATTAAGTTGACCTAATTGTGAAAAAAACTTGCGGCGTCGGCAGAAGTCGAGCCCGGGGCTAATATTAGCAGCTGCTCGTCCATGGTTATTAAATTTGACTTGGCTACCGCTACACAGAGGGGCTGTGTCCATTCAATCACCAGCATTACAAAAAACGTTTGCTTTTAATTGGCCGTCACAGTTCTTAGCTTGCTGCGGTTTATTTGCACCTTGCGATCGAAACAGGCAAGATAACAAACCCGTGGCGCTGTGGTACGAGCGCTAGACTTCTGACCAAAAAGTCGCGGGTTCGAGACTCGGGCATCGCCACCCCTGAGGTTGCATATGGCTGGCTGAGGACGGAAAATATGCCAGAAGTGGTCATTCCAGTCTCCCTTGTCTTTGTTGGCATTCCTGGATATAAGCGTCTCTTTCAAGGCTACTTTTTAATGTCCACGGAAAGTAATGTACGGACGTGGGGTAGGTCCACCGAACCAAGGCTTTTTTGGCTTGCTCAGAATTGAACTTCATCAACTACTGCGAAATTACCCCGTGATATACAAAAACTGCCAATAGGCAGTCAGTAGTATAAAAAAATACTGAATTATTTATCATATTGGCATTCCAGGTCCTCGCTTCATCCAAGACAAATGTGTCACCAGTTTTGTGCCACTGTATAGCGTAGTCGTGAGGGGTTTGTGGTAGCCCGCTTCCGTGATCATCAGCGTCGCCATCTGCTCATGTTACTCCACCGTCCGCCGCACACTGTTGAAGCCGCCCGCAACTTGGCAACAGCCAATCCAAGCACGCCATCAACTGATTGGTTGCAGGCGGGCCAAACAAAGCCCACACACGCTGCGGTCTAAGGATCTCAACGGAGGATGCTGACCCACACTGTCTTACGGCAGCTCTCCCCCCAAAGCCGACAATGCGCTTTTTGACACCAGTGAAGACTTGTCCACCCCAGTTCGTCCTCCCTGACTTGTGACATAGGAACCTTCCCGTTGCCGATCATTTAGAACTCTAGTGTCTGCTGCTCAGCAGTAAGTCGGCTACCATTCTGCGTAGACATCTTGGCACGCAAACTCAGTGTTGCCAGGTATACCCAATCCCAGGTCGTGCACCGGCCGAGATTAGAAGCCACGGCCTGCTAGTTAGAACTTCCGATCTAATGTGGCAAAACAAGCCCGTAACACAATGAGTACTGGCTATAGGTCGCGGGTTGGAGCCTTGTTTGATGCAGCACCTGTAGTTCGATATACAGTATCGCAGGTCCTGCATGCAACTTTCATGATAAAATTTAACAGCTTAGTTAAGCATGCATTAGAACAGGTTAATTTGATTATCTGAGTGAATTTAATCATTAGAAAGGCTTCTGTATGAAAAACTGCCTTCTAAATTAAAGTAATGGAACGAAAAATGCACTAATTTTGGCTAAACTATCAGAAATTTCCTATGCTGTAAGGTACGACGGAACCAAACTTTTTATTAATATGCATTGTGCTATGGAAGAATTCCATAATAAGTAAAAAAGATGGAAAAATTATCCCTTCCAGAATGGGAAAATTTTGTCCGAAGTTGCTCAAATGGATGTGAAGCCAAGTTTAAGGAATCATATTTATTTTCAGAAACAAGCAATAATTTAAGTTTTAAAAATTATACTTAGCTAACCTGTGAAGTTTTCTTTAGTAAAATATGCAGTAAAAAGTTTTCATCGAATTTGTTTTAACCGCACGGCTCACCTAAGCGTGTAAGCAAAGCGTCTGCAAATGTTACCGCGAAGGTAATGTAAAGAAGACGTTATTGAATGTAAGTCATGCAGAAATATACGTTTTGTAAACGATGCGTTCCGCTTATGCGTTATTTAGAAACGGAATAGACAGAAGAACAAGAAGTTTTTTCAAAAGATGGCCATATATATGGCCAGCCTTTTTTCATTCGCAAGCTCATAACAGATAGTGGAAGTAATCCACTTATGTGGAAAATAATCCATTACAAAGAGAAAAGAAAGATCTTTGATTTCCAGTCCAATTAAATCGTTCATCTTCAAATATATTCAAAAAATTGTCAAAAGTCTCCAATTTCATTGTCATATTACCTTGGAAAAAGGTAATATACACAGCAATTCGTAAGCTGAATATCTAATTAACACACTTTTTAAAGAGGTAACCTATTATGGAAAGTTTTTTTATTAATCTGGGGAAAACAATATACGGGTTATCTTGCGGACGTTATTTATTTCGACAATTTCGTTTGCTATTTTGAAGCATTTCTTAATATGATCCACATGGCCATCCTCATAAGAACTTTTATCCAAAAACTAATTTTTTCGTTTAATATTTTATGTTTATCTTATTTTAAGGTTTTGATGTAGACGTCGAACAGAAGCGCAGTTTATCAACTTATCAATGAAGATACTGAAAACAATCTAAATGATAACAG